ATCCTTTTAACCAATCAACCCACCAACCCACCAACCCACCAACCCACCCACCCATCTATCCAACTAACTAATCAACGTACTAGCTACACAACATGCCAACCAAATAATTCTATTCCGCATTCTTTTCCAGATACGTTTTCTGGACAGACTACCATTACTATTACCCACAACTAGCGCGTTCAACAATGGCAGGAACTGAGTACAGAATGATACGAGATCTCTACTGGACCTCACAGTACGCCCCCACTGGATTGACAATCGACTTCACTGAAAATCGTCTATACTTCATAGACGCATATAAAGGAACAATTGAGTCGTTTAATCTTGATGGTGGAGGCAGAATTCAGCATCATACTGCTGGTCATGCTCCCTATCCAAATGACATGACGTTGCTAGGAGACGTAGTCTACTGGGCGGACCAACTCAGTAATTCTGTAGAGAGAGTGAACCGTACATCTTGGTTGAGGTTGATGAGTTTTGGGTGGCTTGGAGATAGGTCTGTCCTAGGAGTGGTTGGTTACAATAAATCTTATCAAACACCAGGTACGTTTAAAATCAGATTAAAAAAAGCTTATGGTGGTGTGGATGTTTCGTTAGAAGCAGGCATTTAGAATATTTAGAAACTCTCCCGGCAAAAGGATTTGAGCGTGAGAGGCTCGGATAAAATGTTTATTATTTCTTTTCACAGCAAACACATCTTGCACAACCGATAACGGTCAGTGCAGCCATCTTTGTTTACTGACGCCAACTGGACGGATTTGCGGATGCCCTAATGGAGCAAAACTGCTGTCCAACAATCGTGACTGCAGCAATGGTAAGGCCCAAAAAGGATACTGATTGATATAATAGTTAATAGTTATTACTAAGTTATAAATTAATAATTATCGATAACAATCGTTTCTGAGCCAACCAGGCATTACTTATCAAAAGAATTTTATATTTAAGCTTTTATGAACAATGCTGCTGAAAAATTATATATATATTTAACCTTGAAGAATTTGAATAATTATTTGCTTGTTGTTTTTTTCAGTGACCAGCGTTGTACCTCCTCCTCAACCACCAGGTAATGTAGTGGGAAATATCTCGCATGTTTTCAAATACCCTGCTTTTTTTTCAGTCTTCTAGCTTTGATCGAGGAGAGAGTAATCTTACTTTGTTTGTTTTATAGTTGTGTCTTTAAGTTTGGCCAATGGTCGTTTCCCCAGCGAAGGTCGAGTGGAGGTCACCTATCAAGGTTCAAAAGGGACGGTCTGTGATGATTACTTCGGGTCTGCAGAAGCTCATGTAATCTGTAGGATGCTGAATTACACTAGAGGTAAGGAAAAGAGCTGGTTAGTGTCTTTTCCTACGTCACTGGAAGTACCGTACTAGTGATATAAAGTAGCTCTATATTTATGTTTGTAGCAACTCATTACTTCAAGCAAGCCTATTTTGGTAGAGGATCAGGAATCATTTGGCTCGACAGCGTCAAGTGTAAAGGAAATGAAAAGTCGATTTCTGAATGTCAGCATGCAGGTTGGGGTGAAAATGATTGCAATCATCGTGAAGATGTTGGAGTGAGATGTTATAATGGTACAATGCCTCAGAACGTTACATCACCCTACACCAACACTACAGGTAGCCTATTTTTCTTGCCTATTTTTTCTTCTTCTAATGATAACTCATGTTTTCTTGTTGTTTATAGGGTTAAAAGTGCGTCTTAAAGGAAGTGTGAATAAAAACGAAGGTAGAGTCGAAGTGTACTATCAGAATGAATGGGGAACCATATGTGACACAAGATGGAACCTGAAGGATGCTAACGTGGTCTGTAGGATGCTGGGATACGACGGTGCTTGGGGCGCACAGGGTTATGGGTACTTTGGTAAAGGTACAGGAAAGATTATGGTCAGTGATGTGGTATGTAGCGGAAGCGAATCATCCATTGGGTTGTGTTACAGTTCAGGATGGGGAAATCCTACTTGTAGCCATCGTTATGACGTCTCAGTCACATGCAAGGTTCATCCTTCCCAACTTGAAGGTTTGTAAGATTTAATTACAATATAATTTTACAAGGAAATGAGATTTGACGCTACCTTGTTTACCCAGTCATCTTTGCCATAATCACTAGAGTAAAGCGTAAAATAAAATATAGCTATACCATCGCAGCCTATTCTATACAATGACATGGTCAATAGCTGATTTCTCATGATGACATGTTCATATATTAGATTCTAGAACACTTCGCCTTCGAAATGGTTTGACTCCAAACGAAGGTCGGGTGGAAATCAAACACAATGGTGAATGGGGGACAATTTGTGACGACGCATGGGATATCAGAGATGCACATGTTGCTTGCAGACAGCTGGGATATCCAGGGGCTCTGTCGGCACCAATCAAGGCAGCTTTTGGTCAGGGTTCTGGCAATGTTTTGCTTTCACTGTTCGCCTGCAGTGGTATGGAGAATTCCTTGCCAAGCTGTTCCCACAGTGAATGGGGTGCGTCTTTGTGCGTGCATGCTGAGGATGCAAGTGTTGTATGTAGAACTAACGATACAATGGATCCACAGCCAGGTTGGTAACATGTTGTATATATATAGGACTCGATAACACGTTTTAAAATGGCTCTTAACGTGATATAATGCGTGATAATAAGGTTGAATTAAAAAATAAATATGACCTCTACAATAGAGACTAGAACATTATTCACCGTAATCCGTGCACACCAAGGACAGATCGGGTTTTATTGCCGTCAGGTCCAAAGTCCATACGATGTCCCATGCAGCGATGCGGATGTCTGGGGGTCATGGCACAATGGAATTTTTTGCCAAATTGTTGTCGGTGGACTTTAGAAATGTTTTCTTTAATCATTTCTGTCGTTGTTTTCAAGTTGGTCATTGGATTGAAACCCGTACATTTGTCATATTTGTTTTAGAGGAAAGATACTTGATTTCTTTCTTGATCAACTTTTTTAAAAGAAAATTCCTTGGCATGCAAGAGGAGGTGTCTTCACCCCTCATGTCCCCACAGTGGAAGCTTTACTTTACTAAATGACATTGATTGTCCATAGATGCACCATCGTTCTTGTTGGTCGCCGATGAGAAGAGAAATTTCTTGAGACAGATCATCCATCAAGTGCACTCCACGAATCATTCATCATCACCGTATGTAATACAAAGAGTAACCAACCCAGACTTTGTAGCCATCGACCCAGCTGTTCGTAGTGTGTACTTCACAAGTGGAGCATCGATCTACATGTCTCACCTGTTTCATAACTATACAACTCGTATCGTAACACAGAATCAGAGGATCAGTGGATTAGCAGTAGACTACATGTGTAAGAAGCTTTATTGGTCTGATTACTATGGCAATAGAATCATGGTTTCATCCTTGGATGGTACTTCACTAAGAGGTCTAGTGACTGTTGACTCACCCAAAGGCATCGTATTGGACATCAGAGGAGGGTAAGTTGGAATACCAGGGTTACTTAAAGCAAGACGGGCACATGGTTTGGCTTGTATGGCGGTAACTTTTTCAGTTATAAACTTGAAATTATATATTTTTTTCTTGTTGTAGTGTTATGTATTACATAGGTGGGCTGAGAAACCCAAAGATTTACAGATCCCACATGGATGGTAGCAACGTCAAAGCACTTGTAACACTGACGTCATCATCATCGACCAGTATTGCGCATGACAGTACCAACAATATCATTTACTGGAGTGAAACAGATAAAATACTCTATTTGAACTTGTCTTCTAACGCGGCTTCTGCGCGTATGCTGTCATCTGTTCATGTCAGCAGTCCGTATGGACTGACGGTACACGCTGGGTATCTGTACTGGACTGATCTCAAAACAGGGGGGTTCACTGGGGGGTTGTACCGGGCTCGTCTCACTTCTAGTTCAAGTCACGTGACAGAGCTAGTGTTGAGTGGGTTCATGACCCCACGTGGAGTGGCATCGTTGGATCTTCCAAACGCTTTACCAGGTAAATCTCATTCATAATAAACTTTTTCCATTTCCAACCCCCGTGCCCCATGATCCCTTCTTGTTTACCCTTAACACTTGTAGATCATATTATCATCTATGAAACTCAACAAAATATATTTTACAGGAGAAAAATATCATTAAACCATTGATATACTTAGGAGGGACATAAATCTTTATTTTCTTGTGTCACCAGAAAACTTTGCCTGCAGTGAATGCCACCAGTGTCAGCAGATGTGTTTGCGTGTCCCATTAGGACATCAATGCATGTGTTCTGGCATGTACCGCCTGGGCAGCGATAACACAACCTGTGAGTATCAACCGTAGTAGACCGTTAGTAGACCGTTAGTAGACCGTTAGTAGACCGTTAGTAGACCGTTAGTAGACCGTTAGTAGACCGTTAGTAGACCGTTAGTAGANGTTAGTAGACCGTTAGTAGACCGTTAGTAGACCGTTAGTAGACCGTTAGTAGACCGTTAGTAGACCGTTAGTAGACCGTTAGTAGACCGTTAGTATAGACCGTTAGTAGACCGTTAGTAGACCGTTAGTAGACCGTTAATAGACCGTTAATAGACCGTTAGTAGGCCGGTTAGATAAATCCTAGGCATTCAGTAACCGAGCAATTAAACAAAGTTCTTGAACCAACCTAACGTAACGTAACATTTTTTACAACAATTCCAGCGGCATCGTGAGGGAGCGCATGCACGAGGCTAGTTCCTCACCATACTTGACTTAGGGTGGAACATACTTTACATGTAAAGGCGTGTACGTGAAGTTCTTATTTTAATTTGTTCACTCATTTCTAGGTGTTACGAGTGACTTTTTCGCGTTCGTCGATTTTTACAAAGAAAGCGCTGATTTTGTTCCTGCGCAAGCCTTGGACGGTAACAAAGAACTACAAAGTATCTCTTTAAAGAAGAGTAGATTTCCACGTGCCGTCGAGTGGGATCCCGTGGAACATCGGATCTACTACGCAGATACCTTGCAATCTCACATCGCAAGGATGTTTCTCAACGGCACTGCCGAGGAGATTATCATCAGTGACGTCATCCAGCCAAGGGGGCTTACCATCGATCACGTGGGACGTAATTTATATTTCACCGACTTTTCTAGAAACTCTATCAGCGTTTGTAAGCTTGATGGGACATACAGGAAGACATTGCAAGTTACCAACAATAAAAGACCGTATTCAATAGTAGTTTACTCGGAGACTGGGTATGTTAGATTATCTTTCCAAAGTCAAGGGTCTTATAACTCATGAATCTCATACCAGCCTAAAATGCTCAAACGTTCGTTAAAAACTTGCTATTCAGCTTGTGAAAATTCGACGGTCGACGGTAGAAACAGGGATTAAAGTCTATTGTTAGCTATTTATTCACTATTTTGTTTTCGTTGATTGTTTAGATATTTGTACTGGAGTACATGGGGTGACAAATCCCGAATCCATCGTGCACTCATGGATGGCACGCAACACACAGTACTGATTGAATGGATAGGCACCTACACTAGTTATGGTGTATCACATATGACGATCGACAAAACAACTAACAGACTGTACTGGGTTGGTTGGCATGAGGCGTACATCGAGTACATCGATCTCAGCAAGTCAACACCAAGGGTAAGTGAGCAGCACCTAATAGTCCAACACAGGGAGTCCACTCAAATTGAATCGAACCAGATCGTCTGTTTGGATTTGAACCTCGAATTGACCACTGGAAATGATACTTCTACTTAGGGGGAGGAGGGATGTCAAAAACGACTTAAGACGAGCCATAGATCGTTCTCGATTGATTCATAAATATCATCACATGTTTTCCTTTCATCATTAGGAGTCCACAGTGGTTAGCAAACCAGACAAACAAAAGAATTTTGTTATTTCATTTATAATGGCACGTATTCTCCATATGTACCATGCTCAACCTTTTCCCAAACGTTCTACCCTTTTCTTAATATTTTACAGATAACCCAACTTCGTAGCTATGCAAGTTACCTTTACATGCCTGAAGGCATCGCACTGACATCATCCAAGGTGTGCTGGACTGATAGTCATCGAGGAGGCATGTTTTGTGGGAGTCGCAATGGTACGGCTAGTGTTCAGAGTATTGTTACTGGTTTGATAGGAATCTTTGGACTAAAGTACTGTAAAGCAGCACCACCACCACCATCAGGTACACTAGAAAATTTAACTCGACTTTCAGTGTTGAAGTAAAGAACTACGCGTGATATATCTCTAAAGTTTATTCTGTTCGTTCGTCTTTCTATGTATTGTATTATATATTGTTGTATCAACTGAGTTCTTCGTGGATTCTGTCCACAGTTTTCAAATGCTTACATGAAACCTGCATTACCATATTTGAAAAGAGTACAATCCTCTTACCTAATCAGTATAACCGCTGGCCTCTAAATCTGTCTTATTATTTTTACATTTAGCCCATCCTTGTGCAAGTGACAATAACGGCCAATGTTCTCATCTGTGCCTTTTGAAACCTAACGGATATAGCTGCGCATGTCCTGATGTAATTCCGTTGAACACCTCTTGTTTTTCCTCCCTCCCAACAACGATTCCCATGACCACTCAGAAACCTACCGCCACTGAAAAAACTACCACCACTGAAAAAACTACCAGCACTCAGAAACCTACCACCACTGAAAAAACTACCACCACTCAGAAACCTACCACCACT